ACAGTTGAAAATGATGTTTGAACAGTTGTTCATTCAGAGGCTACCCAGGAACACAACTGGCTTCCAGCAACTGAACGACTGAACACTGTACAACCTTAAAAGTAGCCAATTTTATAAACCAAATACAGAAATTGTTGTCAACTTGTTGTTTGCTCTGAATGATAGCAGAACAGAACGGAGAATAATAATAATAATAATAACAACTGCAAATTTGATGTTTTCTTAACAACGGAAAACAGCAACAACACACATCTGATGGTGCATAATTTGCTTTTTTTTTTTTTTTAAAGGAAGGGGCAAAAACATTCATGGAAAAAGTCAATATGCAAACTGACTGACGAATTCAAAATATTTTGTTTCTAAAAAAAGCTTTTTTTTTTCCTCTTCTATGATTAAACTATTTTAAGATGGCTTTGTTATAAACTTAGCAATGGCAATATTTTTGTCATAAGGAACAAAATTTGATGTGACTACTGTTAATGCATAACGTTTATATGTAATTTCTATGTGTGTTTACAAATATGGATACATTATTATCACTTTATCATAATTTCCACCTTTAAAACATCAACAAAATTTATTAGTTAAAAATCAAAAAAGAAAAACTTTTAACAACAGAATTTGATAGTGTCCTAAATTTTCTTTCTTTTTTCTGAAATCTAATTGAATCTGGTAATAAGTATATTGCAAAAAAATAAAGAAGTTTTCTATTGCTATAAAGCAGTTCAAAAAAAAAAAAAAATCTTACAAAAAATTTTCCCAAAATTTTTTTTCTTCTTTTTTTACAATGATATCACTGAAAATAATGGAAATTTAAGTTAATGACTTGATTTTTTTCTTTTCTTTTTTCAGAATCTGTTATCACCATTTTACAAAAAATGCTTAACTATAGGTTTGATACCGCTTAAGACAATCGAATCTTTTAGTTCAAACAAATGAAAACCGCATCTTTTTGTATTTTACAATTTCTTTTTTCTTTCTTCTTTTTTTTTTTGTTTTATTAGTTTATCAGAAACAAAAGATAACTGTTATTTGGTGAAAAAAAAAA